GTTGGCGACGATCGCCCTTATGACCAGGAGGTCGTCATGTGGCTATTGGCATTCTCCGAGGTCCGTATCCGAGAAGGTGATCTCTATTTCTCGGCGAGGCACCTTTCATACAGTATGGATTTCAAGGTGATCTTCCAAACGTGCCTTCCGAGCATGTGCTCTACGTGCTGAGCTGGATTCGCCTCCTCTAGCAAACCAGCTAGGGATTACGCGAATTTCGCCAAGGGCTTGTTGGTGCTGTTTAGGGGGTTTTGGGGCAGCTCGGTCTTCTTGGCCTTGATTATTCTGAGCTCTTCCATCTGCTGCCAAGTAGTGGCGCAGGTGTCCCCTTTGGATCTGATATTCTATCTCTTTCTTGAGTTGTATACAGTCGTTTGTCTCATGGCCGGCATCTTTGTGGTACTCACAATACTTAGTAGTGTCTCGCCTGTTGGGGTCAGATTTCATTCGCGATGGCCACCGGATGAACCTCTCATTTTGGACCTCATGGAGGACCTGAGCGATCGAGGTGACAAAGGACGAGAGCCGAGCTGGAGCATACTGCAGTTGTAGCTCCTACGGGGGAGGTCCTAGTCGATCTCGGATATTTCCTCTTCTTTTAGGAGAAGGCTCTCTTATTCTTCTTGGAGAGCGGTCTCTTCTTGGGGACCAGTCGTGCCTCTTCTCTCTTTTGGGGCTATGGTCTCGCTTCTTCTTGTCCCCTTCCGGCGTTGTCGAACTTCCTTTCAAGCGAAGATCTTCTTCATCGTTGATGTACTTTTCAGCCTTTGCTAACACCTCGACCAGAGTAGCCTGGGGCTTGTTAGCAATCGAGAAGAAAAGGTCCTTGCATTGCACTTTGAGTCTCGACATGAAAGTGGTTAATGCGAATTTATCGTCCACATTGTCCACCTTCAGGCATTTCTGGTTGAAGCGTTGCACGTAACTTCTAAGGGATTCATTTGGTCCCTATTTGACGCTCAGCAGGTGGTAGGACGACTTTCTGTACATCCTTGCTCCGATGAAGTATGAGACGAACTGTATTGACAGTTCCCTGAAAGAGAAGATTGACGTCGGTTATAACCTATTAAACCAAGCTATTGTCGATCCCTGTAGGGTGATGGCAAAAGCTCGGCAATGAATCGGGTCGGGATACCCTTGGAGTTCCATATAATTCTTGTAGAAGTTTAAGTGGTCAACTAGGTCTTTGGTCCTGTCGAATGCTTCTATCAACGACATCTGAAACTTCTGAGGGAGAGAGAAATGGAGAACCTCAGGTGTAAATGACGACTCGGTTTGCTGGACTAGGGCATCCATGGTGTCGAGGGCCTTTCCTCTAACCACTTTTTTCACGTTGCCCAGTTCTCGCTAGAGTTCGTGGATTCTTTGCTCCCATATGCGACCATCAGTTTCGAACGAAGGATGAGGTCTGTCCTGTTGGAAGGCAGTTGTAGCCTGGCTGTGGGCCTCGTCCTCGTTTTGTTCTTCAGGATGTCTCCTTCGATGGTTTTCTTCTGAGTGGCTGTACTCGTGGAGCTCTGTGACCCCATTTGGTGGAGCCTCGTGTCCTCAAAGGGGAGTGTCGTGACCTGCTGACGGTGAAGGGGGCTCTTGTTGAGCTGGCGAGAATGGAGGGAGCTGGTGAGTCCGTATCCATTCCAACAGCTCCTGGTTCTGTTTCATAAGTTGCATCGTGGTTCGGTGAAAAGTATCCATCCCCTCGAGAGGGGGAAGGTTCGTCGCTGTAAAGTGGTTTGCGGCGTCCATTTCTGGAATTAGAGGATTCTTTGGCAGGTTTTGGTGGGCTTGAGGGTTAGCAGGAGCTTTACTCATATTCCGAGTTGAAACCATCAAATAGAAATCAGATAAGGAAACGATGACAACCGTTCCCACAGACGGTGCCAACTGATGGTGCTTGGATTTTAAGGCTCAAGCCCAATTATGATGGGATGGTGTTACGAAATGGCTTTGCAGATCATGGATTTATAGTTAGACTAAGAATATAAGTGGTTCACCTTAGCTGAGGGACTAAGGCTACGCCCACTATCAACGGAGCTTCTTGCTCGCTGAATTTATATATTCATCGGTTGACAAAATGCCTCTTGTAATTTGGGGACTCGCGGTCCACTTACAAAGGATGAGGGGATATGTATTCTCTCTTAGTTTTCTACGTTATTTGGCTTTTTAGTGCTCTCTGATCTTTGTTTTTGTGGGGGAGATGGAGTTCTTCTTTTGCTTGGGTTATCGTTATCTATTTATGCTAGCTCCTCCTAAGGCCTCCAGCTGTCCTTTCTTCTGCCCCCTTCCTGCTTCTCCTGCCACCACGATCGCTGTTCATCCGGCGTCCCTGTTCATCCGGTGCTACCGTTGCCATGATCCCTAGCGGCTTGGTACTTCACCTTCCCTGAGATTGTCGTAGGTGTCAGGATTGGTCCCCCTGAATACCCAGGATTTGTGGTCCTCTCTGGCGATCTAGAAATAGCTTGGATTGGGCTTTTCTTCCCCAAACCGCTCTATGGTTTGGACTGGGCCTGGACGGCTGGGTTATAGGTTTTTTGCCGATGCTAGGTTCTCTTTCTCTGCTCCGAGTCTCTTGGGCTGGTCAGGCCTCTGGGCTATCAAAGCCCTGGCCTTGAGTTTCGTCCGTATCAGTTGTGAATGTCACTTCTCTAAGCTAACGATTAATGAATAGAAAAAATAACTCACCAACTATTCAGTTACAATCATTTATCTCCAAATACTTACGGATTTATTATGTTTAATCTTTGTAATGTTGTATATCAGTACATTTGGTAGACATTAGAATTCCTACAAGTTTGTGTCCTATGAAAGATATTTGTCTTTTTGATCATAGGTTTCTATAACAAAATATAGAAGGTTAAACGATTCCCCGTTTTGCTATGCTCTTTTAATGTTTTTAGAGTGTCATGAATGAGATAGTTTGTGCACAAGTGCAAACTTTAAATGTTTTGAAGCAAGACTAAAAGTAAAGCCTGATTAGCTAGGTGCACTATGAGATAGTTTGTGCACAAGTGCTAACTTTAGATTTTTTGAAGCAAGACTTGAAGAAAAACATCATTAGCTAGGTGCATTTCCTTTAGCAACTAAGTTGCAACATACTTATATATATATATATACTGGCAAATGAAGCTCCTCCAATCATATCTTGTGATTTAACTTTATAGGCTTTTGTATCTCTTTTCTCATCTGCAAATTTTATAATGGTTTTGTTCCTTTTAAAATGTCATGTATAAAATTCATATCATACTTAAAATGATTTATTTTTTTATCAGGATACTTAAAATAGTTTACATGTAATGCATGTGTGCATAAACTAGTTATTCCAAGAACTTAGAAAAACTTTTTATTCAATTCATTAAAAAACACAAATAGGGTAACTTAATGCTATTTAAAAATTAATAAATGGCAATTTTACCTTTTTTTTCGCAACTTAAATAGTCTACTCACCTTGAACTTTTAGAAAACTCCACATATCTTCTTTCTTACTTTGAGACCGTCAGAACAATAAATCCCCAAAACAATGAAAGGAAAGTGAGAGAAAAAAAAAAGGGCAAAAGATGAATTTTGAAGGGGGTCTATGCCAATGTAATCAACATGTTTCCTCATTTAAAACTCTGTGATAGAACAAAGGGAAGACCTTTGATATCCCTCATCCCCTGCGGTCAACTCTACATGGGTTAACTAGCTCAATTATTGCAGTGAATCAAAAATATGTGTGGCCCTCCATGGTGGAATCTAAATTATTTTGGGTACAGAATATTATTCTAGTAGTACTTGCAAGTGGTCTTTTTTTTTTTGGTTAGAGCAAGTGGTCTTAAATAACTCAATAAAAACAAGATTATATATATATATATCATCATATAGTATTATTTTTGTTTTTTGGATCACAAAGCATAGTGAATCAAGGTTTAGATGGAAACATATTCATATGGAGAGAGATTTATCTATTAATCGATCTAAACTATTCTCTATCTGGATAGATACGTCTCTATGAACGATTACATTGATTTTTATATGTTCTGGACGTAAAGAAGGATGAAACCTACTTTAGCATACCTTGCTAAAGTCGGAATTTTTCCGATCTTGCAGAAGTAAAGATCCATTCATTTGTTTGTGCCGGTTTATGCTAGTAAGCTTGCTTGGAAGAACTCGCTTGAACTTTAGGAATGGCTTCCAATTTTATGTACGACTCGGTTGCGGATTAGTTATATGATATTTTGATCAATAATAAGATATTCTCGATCACAAAATATAAAATAATTGACAATAAAAAATATTTATGTGCAATCTTTCTTTAACGAGTATACCCAATTCAATCACATATTATTTGGATTCGTGATGGTGATAAAAACTCTAATATGTCTGGAAATATATTATTTGATATCGTTTAATTAATAATCGTGGCTACTATTATTGGATGTTTATAGAACCTAACATTAGGTGTTGTGTGGGGAGGGGGAGGGGGGTAGAGCCCAATACTTGAAAAGTCATACCTTGGATTATTTAGCTTTCTTGGATAAAGAATATGGGTCTACAGGGTGTTCAAATTTTTGCGACCCGACTCTATTCTGTCAAATTATTTAAATTTTATAAATTTTTGATCTGCTAATGCAATAAATTGCAGTATTATTAGATAAGAATGCAAAATATTCATAAGAATTTCACATTCGTAGTCAATCCGCGCGCGCACGCACACACACATATATATACTTAAACGATGTCGTATGAATGTCACATATCAGAGTCTGAGACGATGTCTCCAGTGACGTATAGTTTAAAATTGAGGTCCAAACCGCAATATCTCCATAGTTTTGTCCTTATCAGGATAATATCGAGAATATATTTGAAACCTTACGATACGTCCATTAGCAATCGCAGAGCTCCTATCAGTTTAAAATTCCCATGGCCCTATAGATATCCTCCCAAATCCCTGAAAAATTAATAAAAAAAAAATTAATAAAAATAGAAAATTCATAAATTATGGTGTTTGTCGCTTACTAACCTTCCATAGAAAACGCTGTTCATCTCTCTCTCTCCTCTTTTAATGTTTCTCTCCATAAATTTCTGTCTATCCGTTCATTTCTATACATACACACAAAAATATATCTAAACATTGTTCATCACATCAAGCCCTAGTTACTGAGTTGTCTGTTATTGCTGCTATACATATATACACACAAACACACGTATATATATATAGAGAGAGAGGGGGGTGAGGAGTGGAGGAGAGAGAGAGGGAGAGAGTGAGGTGGTGGTGCAAAGAGGATTGCTGTATGTCAGTAGATTGGACACACTATTGCTACGGTGGATTTGGTGAGATTGCGAACCCGTTGCAATGGCCACAACTGCGGAAAAGGCGACGACTTCTTGTTGCATTTCAGGCGATTCTGCTACGGTTCGTCGTGAAGCCTCTCCGGCCGGGTCGGCGGCAGGGGTGGAGGATTGGACCGGTTTATCCATTGATCGTCGAGACGATCAGCAAAGCAAGAAAGCTGCCATGGCGTCCTTGATTCGCCCTGAACCTTCTACCAATGCTACCTCTAAAGGTAATCACTCTCGTGTGCATAAATTTACGAATGCGTAAACATGTATTCACGATTTGTTTGCTGGATGATCGGAATGTAGGATCTTAAATCCTCGCATCTTAGCTTGAAACGCTTTACAGTTCATTAATGTGTTTCTTTCGCTGCGGATTGTATGATTAGTCACATGTATTCGCTGCATATCAAAAGAAAGAACGGTATTATTTCTTTATTAAATAATTGATATTCAGTTTCATCCTCATGAAGTTTGTCAGAGATACATGAGGTGAAATGGGTTATGAAATTGAAGAAAACACGTGAAATATAAAAGGCGAGAAAATTATTAACACTTAAAGTTTATTTGGAGACTATATCTTTAATTTCTATCATTTAATTATATTTTTCAAATCAGAATTGTTGCCTGAAAATTTAATGCGATGAAAATTCAAGAAAAGTTATGAGGATCAGTATCTTGGGAGTTACGAGTTGTATAATTGGTCAATATAGATGTTACTCTGGGATGGCAGAAGCATAAATGCATCACTGTTGTATATCAATAAAAAGGTGTTGCTCTTGGTAATGCAAACACTTGATCCTTTAATATTTTATATGCCATAATTTTATAATCTCTCTTGGCTAATGATTGTCTTATGGGCCAGTTTGTTTCATTCCGGGTAATTACTAATATGAGCATGGAGTTATTGATTATGAAATAGCATAATGTTTGATACTATGCTTGTGCAGGGATCCAAATCGTTCTGAGGGCGCAAACCAGTCATCCTTTGGACCCTTTATCTGCTGCTGAAATCTCCGTGGCTGTGGCTACAGTGAGAGCAGCTGGTGCCACCCCTGAGGTTGTTAATTATGCTCAAGTTTTTTTATTGTACAATTCTGTTTATATATAATTCTTGGTAGATAATGGTAGCTATTGTGATTGCTTTCGCAGCGGTAACGGACTCTTTTTATCATCTCAGGTCAGAGATGGCATGCGATTCATTGAAGTGGTTCTCTTAGAACCAGATAAACATGTGGTTGCTTTGGCAGATGCATATTTCTTCCCCCCTTTCCAACCATCATTGTTGCCCAGAACCAAAGGGGTATCTATAATTCCTAGTAAGCTACCTCCAAGGCGAGCTAGACTCGTTGTTTACAATAAAAAATCAAATGAGACTAGCATGTGGATTGTTGAGCTGACTGAAGTACATGCGGCAACTCGAGGTGGACATCACAGAGGAAAAGTTGTTTCATCACAAGTTGTTCCTGAGGTTCAGCCTCCCATGGTATATGCTTAATCTTGCCTTTGATATGTTTAACCATTTGGCACATATTTGTGGTTGGGTTCTTTTAGTATTATATAAGGAAAAAACCTTCTGATTCCTCTTAGTGTTCAGCCTTTAAGTTGATTCCAGTATGAAGTTTTTGACTGCTTTTTGGCATCCATATTGCCATTTAGAAGAGTGGGATCAAGTATTTAGAACACTATAAGCTTTTTTTCGTGAACATAAAATTTTATAATCCCAGTGGTTGGGTGAACAATGTGACAGAGCAATAGGGATCAACATTTATTTAACTCATAAACAAGCATGCACAATTTAACTCGACCAAAATTTGTACCAACTACTTGGCGTCAGATTGAGTGACTTTCTGCTGCTATAGGTGGGTATGGTAATTCCCATTTTTCAGAGACTGAATAGCTTCCTCACTTGTATAGGTTTGTTCCTCAACTATTCATCATTATGTGAATTTCTTATTGTGGCGAATAAGAAACTTCAACTTTTATTTGGTTGTAAATACAAAGACGTAAAGATCTAAATATGGAACTTCACACCTGTACTTCTCCGTTATGAAACTATTTTTTAAATACTTTTGATTATGATTTAACCTTCTTTCAAGGTATATATCATTCCTAAGTCTCAAGTCCCAAGTCCTAACCCAACCCAACCTGTGAAGTTGCAGGTCGTCAAAACCCTTTGATGAAATGCAATGACAGAATGAAACACAGGAAACTGGGGAGCAAGAAGTTACATGCCTGTTTTCGTTTTGGATGGTTGAATAGTTATAGCTATTCTTAATCCTTCTTTTATGATAAAAATGTGTTCTAAACGAGCCTAGATTAAATAGAACTATTACATTACAAGCACCCTTGGGAATGGATTTGTGCTTGACTTCAACTGCCCTTAAGAAGTAGGAGCCTTGATGCGAGTGAAATTTATCATCTGTTTAGATGCAAAATGCATCCCCATATTCATGAGTTGAGTACTTAAACCATAAGCCAATCTGAAACAATTGTGTTCAGGTTAGTATTAGATCTATGGTTTGGTTGGGTTTGGACTTTCCTTCCATAGTTGCACGTGTTGACTGGGAAAACTAGTTTTCCTGACTTGGACTGCTTTACATTTTAGTTGTACTTGTTTTGTCCAATCTGTTATCTTACATGCATTCTGTGTTGTTCAATTTTTTCTTTTAATATTTGCAGAATGCTGTGGAATATGCTGAATGTGAAGCTGTTGTTAAAGACTATCTGCCGTTTAGGGAGGCAATGAAGAAGAGGGGTATTGAGGATATGGATCTTGTGATGGTTGATCCTTGGTTTGTAAATCTACATTGAAATACTCCTCGAAGGACTATGGTTAAATTTTTGCCAGCTAATCTGGTCTGCATGTATCTCCTACAGGTGTGTTGGTTATCACGGTGATGCTGATGCTCCTAGCCGTAGACTTGCCAAACCACTTATATTCTGCAGAACAGAGAGTGACTGCCCGATGGAAAATGGTTATGCACGCCCAGTCGAAGGCATTTTTGTGCTTGTTGATATGCAAAATATGGTGGTTATTGAATTTGAAGACCGTAAACTTGTTCCCTTACCTCCAGCCGATCCATTGAGGAACTACTCTCCTGGTGAAACCAGAGGTGGGGCTGATCGAAGTGATGTGAAGCCCCTAAAAATTGTTCAGCCTGAAGGTCCTAGCTTTCGCGTTAATGGGCACTATGTGGAGTGGCAGAAGGTATTTCTTGTTTTGTTGAGCTGGTTTGTTATTTTTTTAATCATATTGGTAGCTGCATTTTGAATGAGATTGGTGTTCTGTTACTGGTTGGCAGTGGAACTTTCGTGTTGGTTTCACTCCTAGGGAGGGTTTGGTTATACACTCTGTTGCATATGTTGATGGTAGTCGAGGACGAAGACCAATAGCCCATAGGTTATGTTTTGTCGAGATGGTTGTGCCCTATGGAGATCCAAATGATCCACATTATAGGAAGAATGCATTCGATGCAGGAGAGGATGGCCTTGGGATAAATGCTCATTCTCTTAAGAAGGTTTGCCATTTTCTTTCCCATACTGTTCACTATTTTGAGTTAGAACTTCTTGTGCTTCATTCTGAGCTGTTCAAAAAATTCTACTCTAAAGCAAGATCTCTACTACAGGGATGTGATTGTCTAGGATATATCAAGTACTTTGATGCCCATTTTACGAACTTTACTGGAGGAGTCGAAACAATTGAAAATTGTGTATGTTTGCATGAAGAGGATCATGGGATCCTATGGAAGCACCAAGACTGGAGAACGGGCTTAGCAGAAATTCGGAGATCTCGGCGACTAACAGTTTCTTTTATATGTACTGTAGCAAATTATGAATATGGATTCTACTGGCACTTTTATCAGGCAAGTTGAATGTAATTATTGTCTGGATAATATATTTTGTGTGGTGTTGTAATGTATTTGAATAGTTTCAATTGAAGATATACAGTGGTTCTGAATAAGTATTTGCCTTCTCATGCAGAGGAAATTTGTCTTGCTATAAGCGCTGTTAGCCACCTAATTTATAATTAGTCACTACATATTATATTACCGAATTGCTTACTTTACAGTGATATTGGGCTGTTTGCCATTTAATGCACATTTTTATGGCTGCTATACAAGCTATATTTGCATCCAATTTGTGCCAAGGCATCAGCATGTTTTAGAAGATAATCTTCTGTAATAATGCATATCTGTCTGCCACCGAGGGGAGATTGTTATGGACTCTCTTCTGTCTGTCATTAGATAAGCTACATGCACCTTTTCCCCTTTTTTGTTATTCCTTTAGTTATAGTGGTGGCCTGGTGGTCAGATTTTAAAATTTTATCATGCGGGCAATTCTGCATTATCTGTGGTTACAGGATGGAAAAATTGAAGCTGAAGTTAAACTTACTGGGATTCTCAGCTTAGGAGCACTGCAACCTGGAGAATTTCGAAAATATGGTACAACAATAGCACCAGGATTGTATGCACCAGTTCATCAACACTTTTTTGTTGCTCGTATGGATATGGCTGTTGATTGTAAGCCCGGAGAAGCATATAATCAGGTATATACAGCCACAATTTTCTGTGATTTCTCCAAGTAATTTGCAATTAGTTCCAGTTGGTAGTAGCTGTGATCTAGATCGCATAGAGCAGAGGTGGAAACGAGAGTGAGAGTGGGAGCGCAAAAGCGGCAAAATTCAAAATATTTGAGAGCAGGAGTGCCTTGAGAGCGTCATATTATATGCATCTAGACAAATATTCACCCATAAAAGTTTATACAAGTAAATTTATAAAAAAATAAATTGCATGCACAACTATGTGACAAGCTATTTAATTTTTAAATATATTTTGATTATGAGGTCCTAAAATAGCAATTTTAGGTTATAAATATTATTCTAGTTTGATATGTATATTTATGTACGGGTTAGTACTTCCAAATAAAAATTTAATTAATAATGAGGAAGCATATAAGTAAGCAAGGGAGCGAATCGAAAATTTGAGTTCGCGAATTTTATAAAATGGGAGTGCGAATTCACGGAGAATTCGCTCTTACAGCGTGAATTTGCATTGTCGGCTGTATTGAAGGATTATGTGACTAAGGGCGTGATGATGCTGGGTATATGACTATATTCTTGTCATTCCAGGGCATGGCACATCTTAAGTTGACTAGCATTCATTGCAACATGGAGTTAATATGCAATAAACGGCATTCTTCTGACTGCTAGAAAATGCCTGCATTGATGAAATTGCCATTTATTGCCAAGATCTTACAGTACAAAGATCATAGTTATCATCATTATTAGTTGTATTATTATGTTTTTCTTGGTAGGTTGTTGAGGTGAATTCTAAAGTTGAAGAACCTGGGAAGAACAATATTCATAGCAATGCATTTTACGCACAAGAAACACTGCTTAGATCTGAATTGCAAGCAATGCGTGACTGTGATCCTTTGTCTGCTCGCCACTGGATTGTAAGCATTTTTACCTGATTATTTTGTTTTCGAACCGAGTCTATTTGGATGTTTTATTTCTTTTTGGGACTTTTCTATTGAGGGGGGAACTCAACTACTTTCAAAGACTGGGTAATTGTTGCTGGGAGGAGATGCTCTAAAGGCTTGAAAATTTTTGTTTGCTAGGAAATGTCTCTTGAGTTTTCATTTTTTTTTTTGTTTGTTATGGAGCATTTTTTTTCTCTGTGATTTTTGAGGTCTCAACCTATATGTGAAACACTGGTGCTATTTTACGCTGCAGGTTAGGAACACAAGAACTGTCAATAGGACTGGACAGCTGACAGGCTACAAGTTGGTACCTGGTGCAAACTGTTTGCCACTGGCTGGTTCTGAGGCTAAGTTTTTGAGAAGAGCTGCTTTCTTGAAGCATAATCTCTGGGTTACGCCATATGCACGTGCTGAGAGTTTCCCTGGAGGAGAGTTTCCTAATCAGAATCCACGTGTTGGTGAGGGATTGGCTTCTTGGGTCAAACAAAACCGGTCTCTGGAAGAAACTGATATTGTTCTTTGGTTAGTTCAGATTACCATTTCCATATTATTTACTGAGGATCTATCATGTAATGTGATTATGATTTGCTAACATAGAAACTGTCAATGAAGCACTCTAGACTCTAGAGTCATCATAGGCACCTTTATCTGATAGAAGAGATCTATTTTTGATATGTGAAACTGGAAGCCATCAACATGAAACCATTGTTGCACACTTGGTTCCAGCACAATTAAACAACGCAAGTACTGACATGTTGTTGTATATTTTGCTGAATTTTTGTACCCCTAACATTATTGCTTCTTCTTAAACAAGGTGATATTATATACTGGATATATATAGATAGATTTGCCTTGTTTTTCACTATATTTTCCAATGGACAACATTATCGCTTCTGATCCAAAAAGTGGCATTAACAAACTTTGAAATAAGAGATAAAAGGGAAAAAATATTTTTCTTGTTTGTGACACATTTTGTTAATTGCAGGTATGTATTTGGAATCACACATGTTCCTCGGTTGGAAGACTGGCCTGTCATGCCAGTTGAGCGCATTGGTTTTATGCTTCAGGTATGTTTTTGGAACATGTGCTTCAGTACTAGGTTGCGAATCTCTATGAGGTGTATGTGTGACCTTGTTTTTCAGTAGGCAGAGATACTATGAAATTAGCTTGAAAATAATCCGGATTAATGTTATAATCAGTGTTAGCTTAGTTTTCTATTACTGAATTGCTGAGAGATTATATCATTCTGCTGCTTCATTTGAGTGGATTGCAGATGACAGTCTAGGAGTCCTCCTGTGTGCTTTGCCATTTTTTGTTTTTTGCTTTTTTTTTTTTGCCGGGAAAAATTTCTTAATCATGGGCTATAGAAAGACATTTTATATGGTCCCTTCAATGAACATACCTTTTTCGTCGTTATTGGCCACACCAAAATGTGCGTAGTATGGAATTTTGATTTCTGCGCACATGGCTGAAAAATTAGATATGGACAGTTGAATATAATTAAAGTGAAGATAGGACAAAATAAATAATAGTAACTTTATTCCCTTGGGATATCCTTAGTGTTTTAACCACATACAATAGGCTGCTTTTTCAAGTCAATGTTTAGGAGTGCACAGCAAACGAAATTTAAGATTAGACTTGTTTCAGGGATTATGTATAGATCAGTGGACAAATATATTATTTTCATGCTTTCAATTTTCTCCATATAACCCAAATTTATGTCCCCCCATTAAGTAATACTCTTTATGAAGTACTTTTTAAGCAAAAAACCAATTTCGTCTAATAAGCAACAGACACATTTAATTGCTATTTTACAGAATCTACATGTTATCAAACAGTATCTTATGCTACATTTAAGACATGAATTACTAGAAGTTTGTATAAGAATCTCTAAATCCTAAATGAGTGGGCAATTGCAAATTAATTGTCATGTTTGCAATTCGTGGAACTTCGCCAATCTAATTTAGATAAATGGTTGATTATTTCTTTAGTCTGTCTAAAACCTTTGGAGTGACATTTATTTGGTAATTGTAATGATTTTTTTGAGTGCAGCCCCATGGGTTCTTTAACTGCTCTCCTGCAGTAGATGTCCCTCCGAATGCATGCGACTCAGATGCTAAAGACAATGATGCCAAGGACAATGGTGTAGCAAAGCCAATACCAAATAGGTTGATAGCCAAGCTTTGAAAGGCTATTACTTCCTGATGAATTGGCCTCTTATGGTCAACACACAAAGGGCAGCAAATCTCTGGTGAGGATACCTTAAAAATTTGTATTGGATTTTAACTAGAGAATTTCAAATGAGCAAGTTGTGTTTTGTTTCCACTCTTCTTAGAAAGTTTTTGTATATATAAGAACACACTGTTTTTCTATTTAATTTGGAATTGGAACTTTGTTTTGGTGGTGTGCTATGCACCGGTCATGGTGCATTGAAAGTGACCTTGATAGCATTTTTTTTGTCTGGCACGGTGGAGTTTTTATTATTTTTGAACTTGTCGCTGTTTCATTGATAACTTTCAAACAGGATGATTACAATCTGAGTTCACTACATCTTTCTGCTCCTCATGTGGATTTGTGGTCCAGTCCCTGTGGAGACCTCCAGAGATGATTTCTTTAGCGACTTAATGAGCTCCTCTATTGAGTTCTCTGGTCCCGTGAGAGCAACGTAGATTCAATTTTTTTCCTAATAGTTCTATTGTCTTCGATAAAGCCATCTACTTCCCATGGAGGTACTCCTTCTGTTGCAGTGAGCTCTTCTATTGAGTTCTCCGGGCACGGTGGAGTTTAAAGTATGGAGGTGGATTAAAAGTTGTTTCCGAGATGGGCAATGCTGACGACTAAAAAAAATAAATAAATAAGATAGGTGAATGCTAGGAAGAGTGAGAAAGTGAGGGGCAAAGGAAAAATAAGAGGATATGTGTAGTGGTTTATAATGCCTCCCACGATAGGCCTACATCTACATCAAAATGCTATGTCAGTAATGTCATTGTTACCACCGATTGGGGTGGTCCAGTGAGATACTGGTCAAATTTTGTACTCTAATGTTTGAGGTTCAAGTCTTAGAGTTTATGTGGAAATTCGGTGATTGACTGTTATGTTAGGTTCGTTTCCGAGAAGAGTAACGGGTTCCTATTAGTGAGGACTTATCGGGGTGATCTTTAAAAATTCTCTTTTGTCTCACTTTTTTTTTACAAATTGAAAAAAAAAAAAGTAGTTTCACTGTTATCTAGTTGTCTTAGAAAGCAAGGATGCATCATAATTTTCTTCGTGACTGTGGTTGGATAAAAATTGTATGGAGTCTGATCGTAATGTAGACTTGACATAAAATTTGGTAGGTTTGGTCAAAGAGTATAATTGTAACTTTGAAACAATTGAACTATAAAATAATACGTAAGGCAACCTCTTTTTTTTTTTTTTTTCCTTCTTATTTTTGGGTTTTTTTCGGGAAAAGTGTGTGTTCTTCTTTATGATTCTTTTATTTCTATTTTTCTACTATGACATATAGAATCCTAGGTTAGGGAGGTTAATTTCTACAATATTGTAATTTGGTACATCTTTTTGCATCAAAATGGCTAATTAGTTGCTTGCTATGATACTAAAAAATGGCAACATTGATTTGCATGCTTGTCGGATTAAAATCCGTTTCTATATTAGATTTCTTCGTTTCTTTTAATGCTATATCAACCACAACTATTAGGATATAATTTAGCATTTGAATTTGTGGTAAACGAGGAAATTAAAGAAATCTAGTATTAGATTTGATTTGAATCGTCCTTATCAAAGGGGGCTATGAAGGAAAAAGCAATTGAGCCATGTAGGTTTCCAAGAAAACAAATTATTCCACGCATAAACATGTTTTAGTGTAGTTGATGACATCTTGCAACCAACGAATAAGAAATGGCTCGCCTACACCAATCTACATTTTTCTTCTTTTATGTGTGGAGAGAGAGAGAGAGAGAGAGACAAGTTCTCTTTTTAATGCTGAAATCTAATTCGTAAATTTTAAGTAGAGTTCTAATTTACTTTTTTAAGGTATTTTTCCTTGTTTTGGAATCATCATGACCTAGATAACTTGACTAAAAACTGACTCGATTGAGAGTTTCTTCTTTTAGTGACGAGCAATCTCTTCAAAGTTCGATCATTTATACTCACTCCTATTAAACTCTAAATGTCTGTAATTACTCGTAAACTACAGATATCGATTTAAAACAGGAGACACCTGTATGAGTCGATCCCAAGCCTTCAAGGTGTACAACACACTCCAGGGTTAAATCCACATTGTTGGACTGCATGTGCTTTGACTTGGGTGAGATTCACAAATGAACAACACTTTAGTGGTTGTTGGTTAATCCTAGGAGATCCATAGTTTGAGTCTCGGAAGAAATGTCTTAGTTTTGTTGTTGATTGCGTGTATTTTAAATTTATATAATAGTCATGAGTCCAAAAAACACGTGATTAGAACGATTCTTTACTATTTATTAAAAAAAAAGTGAGAAACAATAATGGACAAACCAGCTTCTCTGGTTTGCCCAATAAATTGTCACCTCTATGACATTTAAAACCAACCAATGAAAACAACACATGGGCTTCAAATGCATGACGAAAAATTGAAAGCAATCTGGTTAGTGACAGTTTTCTCAAATGTGACCACGGCATGCAACTTCGTTCAAAGCTCTGGACCTTTGGACTAGCATGCTTCAGGTCAAGGACCTATTTAAAGCTGATAATGGTTAACTGCAAAACAACCCAGAAAGCTATGAATTGACATCTTCTTTTTTTTTTTTAACTAGATAAGAGATTTAAATTACGGTGGATAATTAATTGAGCCGATTTACTCGAGTTCAATTAGGATTCGATTCGTATATGATTCGTCTAAATGAACTGAGTTCGAACAAATTTTTAGACTCGTTTAAAAAAATAAACTCGCTAAACTAGACTCGACCTTCCAAAACTCAGCTCGATTATTAGTTCTAGTCGTGTCCTCCACTCCCTTGAGCTGGGTTACCCATCTTTGAATAAGGAGGATCAGCTGCGAAGAAAGCCATGCCAAAGTACCATGAATTGGCTGTGAATTTTATAAATAAGGCTGCCCAGCCAAGTCATTTTCTGGATTTCTTTCACATGAGAGAGAGAGAGAGAGAATATAGGGATAAAAAGGACTATTGAAAGAAATCGGATTTTAAATTACCAAAAACCACACGTTTGAAGGTTCTAACTTTGCAATTGAGGCCATTGTCGCGGATTTTCTCGGTAATTGTGTAGTGGATGTGGGATTGGAGATTTTTATGTGTCTAGAATAATTACTCGGATGAGGTATAGAAGGCCTAAATTTAAAATGAAAAAAAATAGAATATAGAGTCTAATGATAGTATTTTTTTTTAAAAAAAAAATAACTGTAATTATAACCTATAATGACTTCAAGCGTTTTGTTCATTTTATTTACAACCATCTAGAGAAAAAGAAAATTTGAGTGGATGAATTTGTCGGAGAGTATTGAAAGAGATATGTCTCGACCAAGAGTCTATTCTATAAATTTGAATATTTTGAATTTAACTCTAAGCTTGGCTCACTTCCAAAGATTTTCACTCTTTGATTGATAATGCATGTGGGACCAAAGACTAAACGTATCTAAGATGACTCACGGAGTGTTCCAAGAGAACCGGATACACAAAAAAGAAAATAAGAGTTCCATTTCTATGATATGAGGCGTTTTTAACTGTTAAAAAATTGATAATGACTTTACAAGTTTTTGTCTGATTAGTTTGAGACCGTCTATAGGAAAGAACTGATCTAGAGGACTAAAACCAAGGTCTAGACAGCATTAAAAGAGATTGAGCCCCAAAAAAATGGTAACATACCAATTGTGACAATTTGTGTCATGTTTCATATGGTTAAATTCAAAGCCCAAAAGAAGGTTATAAAAGCAGTGTTATGAAAGGGGTATAGTAATAGTATAGCTCTCATGACTCATCTCTCTGGTTGTGGTTGTTATGTACCAACCACCACTTTCTTGAAAGCATAGGCCGCTCAGTCTTACTAAGGAGAGTATTTCTCATTAAAGTCTTACATTGAGTTGGCAACTGAAAAAGCGGGAGTTTATTATGTGCCATTGCTGTCACCCTGACCTCTGTCATTAAATAGCTGTTCTACTGTTGTTTGTCTCCCAGGATAGGGGATAAGGATTATTCGCAGCATGCTCACCCCGCCATAAGAGTGGGCTACAGTCCAAGAAAGGGAGTCTAATAACGTCTAAATCGGTATATGTCTGTTCGATCATATCAAGCTCGACGGAGTAGGCCAGTCCGAGAATTAGGAGCTCGGTATGTGATAGATCTCAAGCCATTCCCATCACACCACGTGTCCAGGTGAAAGGAGGACAACTTCTGGTGACTTTAACAAACAAATACCCCTGGTAAATGGAATATTGGTACGCTTTCCGTTTTGAGGATCATGGGCACAACGTGCGTTAGAATGGTAGACCTCACTACAAGACAAATGAAGAGAGAATCACAGAATCAGCCAAAAGAATGAACAATCACAGAAAACCCTAGATAGCCACATGTACAAATAGAAGACGAAATCATCAAGAAAGTAGTTCCAATCTTATTTGCAATAATTCATATTTTAAATTTTATCACAGTCATATTTTTTTTCTCAAAACCAACTGAACCCCAACTGGACCTCATACAGTCATCGTTTTGCAAGTGGGTATAGTAATATCGAGTACCATCATCGGTAATTCATTTTTAAAATAATAAAATAATTTACCACGTGTCAATTGAATAAAAAAAGAATTGTTGTAATTAAAAACCACTTTTTAATACCAAAGTCTAACCTTTTTGTCCATTTTAGTAACCAACTCTTTACCACTAGGGGCAGAGGTAGAATTATTTCTTTAAGGGGGGGCCCAAATACGGACATAACAGTAATTGTTTTTGAACGAGCTATCATTATTTCATGAGTTATCATTATGTTAATCACTAGAGTAAAATTAAATTTTATGATTTCTCTACGTATCACGAAAAAGTCGAACAAACATATTCAAATTAATGCATGAAAGAAAATCAAGATTAAATTGTAAAGGTATAAAGCACAAATTTAAAACTATAGAGGGCCATGTAAAATTCAGTTAAAGCATCATTTTAGAGGTATAAAACTTATTTTTAAAACTTGAGGTGAGTACACATAATTTTAAAAGGTTAAAACACAGTTTTAGAAACTTGAGGGGACCATGGCCCCCTTTGCCATAACATGGCTCCATCATTGTTTACCACTATCACATTTATGAATATCAACCAGACGACTTTTCAAACAAGACCCATGCAATCTTGTCATCACGGTTAGGCGGATTATTTCTGTGACTCAAATTGATAACAAAGTTTTTAAACACTTTGCTTATCTTTTTTTTTTTTGGTAAGTAATGATATTTTTTATATTATAGGTGAGGAGGAAGGAGAGGAAAAGAGAAAAAAGAAAAGGGGAGTCGAACCATCAACTTGCCACTCGATTATAGAGAACTCCAACCATCTGGGCAGGACTTCGGTCATAAACACTTGATTGATCTTGGTTTAAATCATATGAAATCATTTGAATTGCTATAAGTATTTAGAACAAGCTCTTATCTTAATTAAGTAGTTGCTTGAAAGGGTCTGGTAGCAGTTTTTTTCTGTTAATTAGTTACCTTAAATCTGATTGTTAAAAATAGTTTTAATTTTATAGTGAATTTCGCAATTCAATGACCGAAGTGATTAACTTAAGTAATATTACCGTACGTTTCTTGAGAAGTGAGTGATTACCCACTGTAGCTTCTACCAACCACCACCCGTCAATTCCGTTTTGCTCAATATGTTAAAATGTTTGTAAGTGTGATTCTTTTATAAATTCAAAAGTTAAGACTTTATCTCATGATTCTCTTTCAAGACCCTCCTAAGCCTCCAACCCTCTCTCTCTCTCTCTGCCAACATGAAACGAAAAATCTTCAACTCGAGCATATTTTTTCGTTAAAAATAGAAAGAATTCATCTTAAGTATATTTTTTTTCTTGGAGAGTTGGATACCATGGAATCATAACTAACAAATTATGTCAGTCAAGCAATTGTACGAAAATCTCAAAGGTAATTCAAGTGATAATAGGGATGAGTTATAAATTTAGTCATCCTAAGTTTGAATATTGACAACCTCTTAAAGCTAGGTCATAGGAGATTTATCTTTTATGAATACCCTAATCTTGACGCGGATAACCTATTTTTGACCGAATTAGGAGAAAAAAAAAAACCAAAAACAATTTATCTCAACTCTTAAAACAAATACAGGAAGTAAAATACAGATTTTACAGAGATTTATCTTATTACCAGGACAAAGGAGAAAAAGGAGAAAAATGCCAAAAAAAAAAGAAACAAAAGAAAAGACCCTTACCCCAAGCCTCTCAGCAGTACTTCCCTGTACTATCAACACATGTTTCTGTATATGTTGAAAAATGAAAAAAGAAAAGAAAATTTACAGTTTATATATGGTGGAAAACATCCATGTTTGCTCCAGATAAATCTTCTGATAGTGACGTCAATGGATAGGTGTTGAAATCTTCTGAATTGTAAGTATGAAGCTGCCCTTCTTGCCATACACTTGGCTTGACTTCCTCAGATTTGATCCCATGGAATTGGGTATGAAACAATGAAGCTAATTTGGTCTCAGAATCCCAAGAAAAGTTAGAAGAATTTTCCACCATGTTGTTGTTCATCTGAAATCCACCATGACTGTTGTTGACAACAAGGGAACTGCTACTTGAACTTTCTTTTGCTTCATTGAGGAGGAATGATCTCATTCTTGAAGCCGAATTCCCCGAAAAATTCGAATTTTCCATGTTTCCATGATCAAAATTACTAGTTAATGTTGGCATTGAACCAAATTCGAAGTTTGGATCATAAGAAGGCCTTAGACTCTGCTGATATTGAGTTTGGAGATTAGATTGGTACCCGCCCGATTGATCGACACCCACTTGGAATTCAAACAAGAATAGAGGATCATAGACTGGTTTGGTCATGAAAACCTCTCTTGATGCTTCTGTAACTCTTCCATCATAGCTAATTGTTGAGTTCAAATGATCAAATGCTTGCTCCATTTCAGAGGAGGTTGATAAAGCTTGAAGCCCTTTGGCCTGTGGTGAAGACAATGATGCTTTGTCTGCACAATTGTCCTCATCTGTGACCTCTGTTTCAGTTCTTGGTTTGTGGGTGTTTGGATCAATGCCTTGCTTCATTAGCTTCTTCTTCAAACATGAGTTCCAAAAGTTCTTTATCTCATTATCTGTTCTCCCTGGCAACTGTGCTGCAATTTGTGCCCACCTGAAAAAATTCAATTTTGACAATGTATTTTCGATATATAGATAATTCTCTGAGACCCCGTTAATGGGACTAAACTGGGTGTTATTTTTGGTCTTTTTTTTCCCGAAATTCATCGATACCTGTTCCCTAGAACTTGGTGGAGACTCATTATGAGGTCCTCCTCTTGCTGTGAAAACATTCCTCTCTTAAGGTCAGGCCTCAAATAGTTTATCCATCGCAGTCTGCAACTCTTTCCACACCTTTGCAAGCCTGCATGTATGAATCATATTGTAGAACAAGTTGTGCAATTCAAAAACCGTTCTGTTTTATTGTATAGATATTGATTTCGATACCAATTTTTGTCTATAGAATGAGAAAATGTTTGGGGTGTGTGTGTGTGTGTGAGAGAGAGAGAGAGAATTTACCAGCAAGTTTTGGTACTGAACTCCAACAACCAACACCAAATCTGGTTATGTAATTGAACAGTTTCTCATCTTCTTCTGGTGACCACAAACCTTTCCTTAACTTCTGCTGCACACAGCAGGAATGGCGACCCATTTTTTTTTTTGGATGGATTGTGAAGGATGCTAAGAAACTAAGATATCAAGCACAGTGATGTTTAAAGCACAAAAACTTCAACTAACCAGTGGTGTGATGTTTTTAATGATTTAGTTTTGGAGGTTGGGAATGTGGGTTTATCATGTTTGAGTGGAAAAACTCGAAGATTATCCTGATGATTTAAAGGGGACTAGAGAAAAATCATACTTAGAATTCAAGTTAAACACAGGAGAGAGAGAGAGAAATAGAGAGAGACAGCCCGGGAAGGTAAAAGCAATCAAGTGGTTTTTACGCAAATCTGGTGCTGCTTTTGCATAGGATTGGATTGGGTTTTAAGATATCTCTCTCTAGAAAAAATTGAAGGGAAGATAACAAGAGAAGAAAAAAAAATGAGCATATAGTACTTAATGAGTATATGTGTATTAATGTTCTATAATAACGGAAATGTATATATCTTTATCCTTACATTAAGCTTATTAAACACGCATAGTGTATTTGTAAATTGCGCAAAACTTCTCTCTTTTAATGAGTTTTATAAATCTCGCAACTTCAAATTCAATAAGGGCGGTGACTGTTTTGGATTTGATTCACGAATCGGTCATTTTCTTACAAAGAAGGAAAAAATTTACGATTGTGTTCTCGTTTTTTGCTTGAACCTTCTCACTTAAACTAATTTATTTTAATTTGAATAATGGGTTTGTATATAATTAAGGAAAATGTGACTTGTGGTGATGGGATACGAAAGCGTATTTATGTAATAAAACGGAAACTTGATTGAAAAATGTCACTGTATTGAGGGCTATTATACCAATTTGATGCATGGGACCCACTGTGGGGTCTATAATTTTTGTGGGTAAAGTACGTAGGAACTTTAAAGTCGACCGACACATACGTTAAGAAAGTGTGGGGTCCATTTCCATTAGATTAATTTGACTCTTAAGCAATCTTTCAAACTCAAAAAAAGAAAAGCTTTTTGAAAATATTTTCTTGGTAAAGAAAACAGGGTGAAAGCTACTCTTGAAGAAGAAATTTTAGTTAGCAATGTTTGAAATTTGAGGTACCATTGGCCAACCTACGGTATCTTTAAGTGTCCATAGAGACTAGTCGTAAATTTAAATGTGCTGATTTTAAATTTTGAAAAATTCTTAAAACACGCTGTGAGAAATTTTATCTTCATGAATACCTTAGTTCTTAGCGTGAATGATCTATTTTTAATCAGACCTGTAAAGAAATTAATCGAAATACGTATAAATTAATTTGGACATCTTTGGGCATCGAAAGAAAAAAAGAAAAAGAAAAAGAAAAGGAGGATGGTGTCGTATCAAGTTTCTAACCATATAAATTTGTGTCACATGAAAATTACTTTTGTCCATGTCCGATCATTTTACTAAACAAGCTTGCGTTAACATGGTTCAAACCTATGACGTGTTAAAAATTGATTCAATCAATAATGATATTAGTTTGGGTCGAATGGGTCAACCCTATTATTATCAGGGAAAAAAAATCATTAACACTACACGCATATTATTAACTGTATAGTATTTTCAAGTAAATAATCCTATTAAATATTATCAATCTTGATTTCAATTTGAAGTGATCTTAAAGCTTAAGAGTATGAATGGGTCTCTAGGTGCATAAAGAAATTCATTTTCCATGAAAATTTGATTATCAGCAAACTCTATTAGTCTTCTAAATATAGGATACTAGCCGTTAGGAGCCATGATTTTTTATTTTTTATTTTTTCGGATTTTTTCATGTGTAGTTATTTCATAGAATTTGTTCATTCTTAACTCATACTCATGAAGCAATTTAGGAATTAAACTTGAATTTCAAGTCAAGTTGTATATCTCGAGTTAAAGTTAATTTTTAAAAATTTAATTAAAACCCCGCTATGTGAAGAGGTGAAGATCAATAATCGGATTCAAATTGATATCAAATTAAAAGTTTTTATATTTGAAATTAAATTTTTTATATTTGAAATTAAAATTTTAATTGACCTCCAACATATCTGATTTATTTGGAATTCTCAGCTAAAAAGGGAAATTTGACATAGTATCATCATCGTTGCATGACATTCCCAAGACATGGTGTCACTATTATATTAAAATATTAGGGACCTCTCGTGCAAAGTGTGTTTTTTTTTTAAATGTGTAAGAGACTAGTGAAAATATTTATTATAATTAAAGTATTTATTATTGTTAAATATAAATAAAAAAAGTTATTTTTTTAAAAAAGTTAAAATATAAATAATCGGATAAGTCATTAGATCTAAATAATTTGAATTATTGTTGTGTTTTAAATAAGTACGATACTCGATTTTATTAAAGAATCTCTAATTCTTACTCAAATCTTGACTCAAGCTAAAAACAAGTTTCAATTTTTTACTTAAGTTCATACCAAATGAAGGTCCACTCAAAGTTTTATTCATAACATGAGAGACTCAAAATGTTTACCTAAATTTTCAAAGGTCAATTTTTTTTAAAAAAAAAATTTAATGATTATATTAAATTTAAGTTTATCCCCTTTAAATTTTAGTTTGTCCTCTTTTACATCTCAATTTGACTATTATAGTATATTGTATCAAATTAAACTTTTATTCAATTACTTACTTAAATTTGAGTCAAAATTAAAAATGACAAATTGTATATATAGAAGTGAGTGAGAGAGAGTAAGAGAGAGATAGAGAGGAACATAGAGTATTGTTATCGTCCCCCCCAACTTCAGTTGCAGTTAGGGGTAGTCTATGGTATCGATTTTTTTTTTTTGGGTATTAGCAATGCTACATGTATTTAAAAAGTAAATTTAAAAATTAGATTTGATAATTACAATTATTAATTTTACTGTGGATCTCAACATTTATTGAAATCCACTACTTATTCAATTGTTGAAATTATCAAGTTTAGTTTTTAAGTTTATCTATCGTTACTCTTTTGATATTGTATCCTTATTTTAATTTTTTTTTGATATTTTATCCTTATTTTAATTTTTTTAATGCCAGTATTACATGAGAGATAAAAACATTCACATAAATTCTAAAAACATTCATTAAAATTATAAAAATATTTACAAAAATTATAAAATGACTCATAAAATTATAAAATTTAGAGACATGGTACCAAAGTGTTTTTTTTTTTTCAAGTAAGGTAGTTTTCTCCGTTGGAGTTAGAATGATTGGATCGTTTGATAGACATTTAAGATGACCGACACTTACACGTCGGAATGACACAAAAAAATTAAAATATTTAATTATTATCTTGGAAAATACGCAGCCAGCGACCACACCCTATCACTTCCACATACGTCCACAAAAGTACAGTTGTTGTGGGTCCGCTCATAGTACCATGTTTCAGTGCTCCGCCGCAGCATCATGCCCCATCATCCTCCATTTAATACTTTGCCACGTGGAATAAGCCCACAACTTTAGGTGTCATCAGTGTTGTCATTGTGTGATCAAACGGTAGAGATAGTTCCTTTAGAAATTAAATATGTTTTTCATCGTATACTACCATTTTGGAGGACCCATGAAGATCTTGGATCACACGTGAAAAATTAGTTGTCGGGATGTGAAAGGAAACAATTATATATACCAAAAAAAAGAAAGGGAACAATTATATATATTATATACGGACCAACATAATGATAAGGAAAAAATTATTTAAAATTTTTGAGACATTATTTATAAAAATATATAATGTGTTACATTATTAATAATATGAAAAAAAAAAATGGGATTGACTATTGATTTGGGATTATCTTCTTAAAGAAAGCATAATTGATTTTAATATTGAATTATTTAAAAAATGAATGTTTTTAATTCTAAATTGATCAATCAAATTATCTCTCGTGCCCTTAATCAATCAAATAAATATAAGTGCACAAAAATATAGAAGTCATAAAATTTTTTAATTTTTTTTTTTGGAATAGCAACGATAATTTTATAGATATGAAATATCATGAAAAAAAAATAGTATTTTTATATTTAGTTAAATTAAAAGTCGCTCTATTACCATTTCTTCTAACCATATTGATTTCATAGCATGAGCTAAGCCGTTGGATGTCATATTTGATGTCCACAAAGTCGAAGACCCTGTCCATGCCTCTGCCTCCAAAGTTCAAAAAGTTATCGAATCCCCTTCAATAATGATCGGTTGTGTTGTTCGTTGTAGAGCAAACTTTATAGCTTCCTTCATAGCACTGATGTTCACGTCCAAGGATAGCTCTCTACACCTAATTTTCGTGGCCATCCCAGCCACAAAAATTCCATTGTTGTCCCTGATTACAACCCCGACCCCAGCATGCAGGCCACCCGAGCACACATAATTTAGCAAGTAATTTGATATAAGTAGTTTAGTTGTTGCCTCCCATATCCTAGTAAAGTTCAAATAGTTTTCAAAAGGAAGGATTTCGACCTTGAAATTAAAATCAAGCAGATGAACTAGTCGTATTGATGTAGAAGGTTAGACCTAACGCAGGGACGGAGCCAAAAATTTTCTCCAGCGAGGACAATAGCAATCAAAATTTTAAATGTTCATAAAAATATATTTTTATTAATAGAACGTCAATTAAAGGTACATCTCATATACATGAGCGATGTAGAAAAAGAGTCAACAAAAAAAAACTCACAAACAATAAAAACTAACTTAAACTATGACTATTTTATTAAACTAAACCTAAGTATAAGAATTACTTAACCTACCACAATAAAATTATTCAAACTACCAAATCAAAACAATTTAATCTAACACGTATTGGAGAACTACATGCTCCAATTCCAATTAAACATATAAGAATAAAACAAAAGAGAGGTACAAGCCCCAATTCCAATTCAACATAAAAATAAAACACAAGAGAGGATTACAAGCTCTAATATCAATTATATATATATATATATATAATAAATCATAAAAGAAGACTACAAACCTCAATTCCAATTCAATACATAAAACAATAAAACACACAGAGAACTACAAGCCTCATTAATTTTTAAAATTTTTTTAGTGGGGGTAAATGTCTAATAAATTTAAAATTTTTTGAAATTATACTTACACCCCATATTTTTTAAAAATTCCAATGGGGGTAACTGCCCCCAC